TAAATTGGTGAAATAAGAGCAAAAAAAGGTTTACGAGGAATTCGGAATTTCAGAATTTGGGGAACGGACGATCGTTGAACAACTTTACTTCCTATCATTAATTCAGGCTCTGGCCTAAGCCAATCTCAAAGTAACATTTTACATCTAAAGGGGGAGAAATCCATTCTGAATACACTTGCATTGAATTTCGTCAGTGTCTTCACCAAACAGAACTATATTATCTACGTTTTCAAAGTTAACAAGTGAATCTCCTGGTAGGAAGTCAACCCCCATAAAGTCAGACGATGAAGATGTTATCTCTGAAAACATGGTAGATATCAAGTAAAAAAAACCTGGTAGTTCAACTTACAGCAGGTAAAGAGAGACTCAGAGTTGCGACCTAAAGATCGAAAGGCGAGTGTTTTAACCACAAAGTTGTTGCATACTTTTAGGGAAATTCCACTCTGAGTATATTTCCGGTGACAAAGAGATTGTAGCCAGAAAACCAGAGAGCGTGAAACAACTGTTATTCCTTAGTATGAATCTTCCTAGCAGTGTGTTTCCATGACCCCAAAAAGGTCGAACCCAGGGCTTTTAGACTTTGTGGAAAGCTTTATTGCCTTCAGACTACTGAACTGGTATCCAGTAGTTAACATTCTCAATTTCAGTTCACTTGCAATATTGCTTATCCGTCACCCATTGGTAAACATTTATCGAAATACGCATATACACCGATCTATAGACAAGATAAAATTATCATTGCCCTGTCTACTCGACTTTCCACAAAATGAAACATGCCTAACAAAAACCAACACCTTATAGTCAAGATGTTTGCTGTTTCAAGCAGAAATGAAGATAATTTACTATTCATTTGCAGAAAGGAAAGAAACTAAAATTCATTATTTCATGTCATCAAAAGGAGCAATTGAAAAAAACGCCCATAGCTCTTCTAGGGCTACTGCTAGTCTCAAGCCCGGGTAAAAGAGGGTCTCTGGGAGTGGGATCAAAATCTCCATCCCGTAGAAAAGAACCTTGCTACAAAAAAAAAACGCTAACCACAATAAACTAACTGAGAGAAAATGATACATACCAATTCTTAAGGCTAAAAATAATGTTGAACATGATTACTAGATACCATCAATCATTTTGTTCAGGAATTCCTGGTTTTCATTGTTTATCTAAAGTTAACCCATGAGAGAACCTTCGGAATTCAACAATCCCCCCACTCGTTTATGCTTTTAACATTATTATTTCATTTGATTTCTTTTTTTTTTTTAAAAAAAAAGGGGGTATAAATTCAAACAAAATAACAATAACAAACCTAGTAACTGCTTATCAATCATGAAAATGAATGAATAAAACAACGAAGGATTGAAATTTCTACTTTTTTTTCTTCTTCTTCTTCTTAATATTAAAGAAAACAAAACTCATTAACATATCTCTCAAATACACCTACCTTGCCAACAAATTAACAATCAATCTAATTGATAATACAATACAGTATATATATATATATATATATATATATATATATATATATATATATATATATATATATATATATAAAGAGAGAGAGAGAGAGATAGTGATGTAGATATTATTTAGTGTTGAACCAATGTTTATAGTAGAAATGAAAACATTAAATCAACATGAACACACTTGCTGACCTGAAATAGTTAATACATTATTCATTTTATTGACCTGTATACATAGTTTGAATTGAGAGAATGAGTAGATTGTGAACATACATACATATATACAAATATTATTGACTACTTCGTATAGTGATAACGTAGTTATTTTATAAGAGACTATAATGATATCAGTCATTATAATGATTGGTGGTAGGATATAACATTAATCCTGACTGTAAACTTGTATCGTGACACAGTGGTCAATCATGTCTATCGAGACGACTCGGTAAATCTATATTAACCGGAAAAACTTGTTTCTGTATGATTTACCATATTAGCTAGGTCGATTAACTACTCGAGAGAAGATCTGAGGGTGAAACTTTACTGACGACTGAACATGGATATGATGTCGTAAATTGTTTCACAAGGATAATAGGCACTTTCAAGCAATGCTACCTACCCAAAAATGGAAGAGGTAGTTAGAAAGGGTTAATTCCTAAAATAGCACACAACATACCACATTAAAGATTCTATGTAAATTCTGAATAGTGGGATCATAAATGATCAGCTTCATTCGGCTGCTCTGATCGCTTTTTGCGGTCAGCCTTCATGTTGATAAGGCCACTACTAACAACACGAATAATCATTCAAATTACAAAATAAGAAACAACTTTTTAGAATATGGGCAACCAGAAAATAACGAACCACAGGACACCACTCCTAATTAGACAAGCAATGCAATTTACTAAACAAGGAAAGCAGATATGAGAATTCAATTGCATACTGTGTACGAAACACTTAATTTCTGCAGACCTTTTAAATCGATAACTCATCCAATCTGATTAAACTTTCCAGAAACAAAACTTATAATTGATTAAACAACGAGTTACTGTAAACTAAAAGTGTAGAATGTAAGAAAATTACATAATGTAACAATACAATAGTAAGTAAGATAGAAACAGTTTAGAATTGACCTAGGAATGATCAAACCAAGATATTTCAATAATAGTCGATTAAAGTGTATGAAATAATATAGTTACATTTTCACAATAACAATTAACGTATTACAGTTTGGAGGCTAGTGTACTGTAAATTATAATTTACGAACGATCGTAGATTCCTCTAATACGACATAAAAAGAAAATGAAAACACAGAAAAATCTATCACACAACCCCCAAATAGCCTGGTACGGTCGAAAGTGGGGGGAGTCAGCTAGCCCTCTAAAAATCCTTTCACATGCCCACGTATATACAGTTATTGATAGGGAAATCCTACTCACTGCCTTCTCAAGGCATTACTGTTGTTTACGAAGTCGAAAGGATGAACAGCGAATGCTCGACGATGTTGGTGGACATGGAGCGACCACCCAGGGAAGTTGGAAAATGCTGATTCTAAACCATTGATGCTTATGGCCTCCAGGATACCGAGGAGTGAGAAGGCGTATGAACCTACTGTTGGTCGCCGGCTACCATGTGACTGCATCACCTTGCGTTGCTCCACTGTCTTGTGGATTAGACCTTTAGGTAGAAGTCTCGGAGTGTGGCTCCTTAAGAAAATCACCTGCTTCAGTTTAGGCACCTTGTCAGTATCCTAGACCTCACGCAAATCGAATAGTTTGTGTGGCACATATGTATTTGGTACCTCCTTGTACCAATGTTTGTGTTCAAATAAATAAAATAAATACACAAAAGCACTTCAATGTTAATGTTATAACTTGTAGCCTGAGTGCCCTGTTAATGTATACGTACTAATACTGCCAATAAGAAAGTAGTGAATTACCGATCCGACCAATGATGCATGAAACCCGTACGAGCAGTCTAAAGTCTTTATAGATCCTTCACCCTGCCTAACACTGCCTGTTAAGTCCAGAACACCAATCTCAGCCTCCGAGATATGAATCATGTATTTCAAACATATTGGGTTTATATACCAACCAGACAGACCACATCATACCATAAAATAGGAAACAACATTTGTACAAGAATTAGCCAAATGTGGCTGTGAATGAGGGAGGTAGTAATTAATGGACAGGGCATAATTCAAGAATGGTATATCGTATAATAAAATAAATACACAGCAACACTTCAATGTTAATTAATCAACAATCCAATAGAGAAGATGAGAGAATTTTTAGGATAAAATTGAAAATAGAGAACTCCATTTCTAAAGTTATATCCAATAACAACTAATTAGATAACATTCACTTGTATTGTTTACTTGAATCTTCCCAATATCGAGGCAATCCTTACAGTATGCACATATGCTGTCCTAAACATGAATGGGAAGATTCAAGTAAATAAAACCAAGCGAATTTAAACTTCACCCAACTGTACAAGTAGGTGGCTATCAGGACTTAGTAGTTAAGTGGATAACTTCATGGCGTTTGAAACGAATGGTACTGGGTTCGAGTCCCAGAGTGAACGTTAACGCTGGAATGCAGATACATCGAGCTTACGAGTCCCAATCAGGAAGAAACGCGCCTATTGGATTCCACTGCTAGCCACTATGCATCTTTATTCATAATTAGATAACAGTTAATGTTGTTATAGAAATACAAAGTAGGAAAGTACCCTTTTAAAAAGTAACCATTAACATATATGTTCCTAATAAAAAGTCGATAAACTTATCTTCTCTTAGCAACTATTGAAAATCAAAATTTAAGAAAGAAAATATTCAAATTCATCGTTATTGTGATCAATTTGTTTTTTTTTTAGCCAGATCACAACAATAATTAAAACCTTCCAATAAAGATCAATATTGTTGATTCAGATCAAAAAGTTCATACAGAACAACAACATATAATAACTCTATTAACTAATATTTTGACATAGTTTAATCGCTAGTTTTATATATATTTTTTTCTAGCTTATAAAGTAAGATATTATACTGTAGTGAATGTTACTTATACTGACAGATATAAGTAGTACATAATAGTAATGAGAAGTGAAATACCTGCCGATCAAAGATGAATTGAAGACAAACAGGAAAGGAATCAGAGATCAATTATAATAACAATAGAATTGAAAGAATCATAAAGCGTATAGAGGAAAACTGTAGGAAGATATGCAAAGTATATATTTAATGTATGGTTTACATATTTTCTTAAGGAACTTTGTAATTTCATCCTAAACAACATATGGATTACCCCCTTTCCATCTGAGTTCTCGTTCACTACAACAATACCATACACTCATTAGCATCGGTAACCAGATTAATGAATAACTTAGTAACAGGATATACACCTTTTATTAAATATTTGTAAAATAAAGGGTTAGTTTCAGTAATAGACAATTTATAAGGGAAAAAATCAAAGTCTATTTCACATATAAAATAACTTATCTGAACAAATTAGATTGTTGTCATCAAGGATATTAAAAACTACTTACCTAAAGAGTTTTGATTATTTAATCCATTCATAGTTGGATTATGTAACGACTGATTATTATTATTATTATTATTATTATTATTATTATTTACAGTATTTAATATTGGTATAGTAGTGATAATCGTTTCACGAAGACGACATTGATATGTACGTGTATTTGGTATAGAACTTGTCGATGAACGAATATTATTATTACGAATAAAATGAGAACGAAATTTTGACATAGATTGTCTAACACTTTGCCAAAGACGATTGCGTTCTGGACGTTGTTGTTGTTGTTGTAATTGTAGTTGTTGTTCTATACTAGATGACATATCAGATGTATTAGATAAAGATAATGCAAATGGTGAATTGGATATTGGTTCAGTTAATAATTTAGGAAGATCAGTAGAATATGAATCGCTTAGATTACAAATGGGAATCTTGAGAAAAAATATTAAAATACATAAATTCAATGAAACATGGAAACTACAAGTTAGATAATCTAATATACAATAATAAGGTATAATTACACAATGAACCAATAGTTAATCTAGTGACAACTGAATTGAAGCTGAATGATACAAGTGATAGGTTACAAGTATTACATCATAACAAACAAACAAACGAATGATAAGATTTTTATTTACTAACTATATTCTTTTCATTAAAAATCAACCAATCATCATAGATTGAATCACATCGAAAAACACACAATAAAAGAAAACACATAGATCTATAGAGAATCATCATTATCATCAAACTTCATCTTTATCTTGGTAATTATACTAAATACATTACCCTGATCTAATCATTGATTAATATTCATAATCAATGTTATGTATATCTATATATGTACAAAGAATGTGAGATATATTTGTGACCGAATAAACACCCTATTTCAATTAGATACCATATTCATGATGTATACATACATGTGGTAAACTCAAGTATATAAATGAGATATGATAGAAAACTATGTACTTATATAAGCAAAAACGAGTTTTATATAGACGCACATTACTATCAGAAGGGGTTTTGTGGATATTGTAGTAATTTCAACGATTGAGATTATGAGTCAGTTGAAGCTAGATCAACATGGAAAACCTGGAAGCACTGGACGGCCGTTTCATCCTACTGTGGGACTACTCAGCAGTGAGCATCCACGATCCCACCTCGCGAGATTCGAACCGAGAACCTATCAGTCTCTGTGATAGTTCATGTTATCGGATTTAGAAAAATTGCCAGACAATTGTCAATAAGCTGTCAACATTAAAGCTTAAATATTTAACAAAATAAATACTGATAAACAAAGATGGATAGTGGCTAACAGTGAAATCCAGTAAGAGCGTTTCGTCCCATTTGGAACTCGTCAGCTGGGCGTACAGCATCTCAGAGTTGATGTTCACTCAGGGACTCCAACCCAGTCCCATTCGCTTCAAACACCATCGCGTTATCCACTACGCTACTGAGTCCTGATGGCCACTTGCTTGTGCGATGGGGTGAATTAAAACTCACTTGATATTTTTGCATGTATCTTTCCATTGATCAATTGCAGCCTTAAACCTCAATGGGAAGATACAAGCAAAAATACCAAGTGAAATACTGAGAAATCTATTAATCAACATCACAGTTGTAATGCAAACATTGGAGCACAATGGATGATTAGATAACAATTGAGTTAATTTGATTTTAATTATCAGTATGAGGTTGTAGAGAATGTTAAGATTTTGAATGAAATTATAAAATCGATCGATGTTAGACTACCATTGAAAAGTTAGAAACACTGAACGATCGTTTTGTCCTAGTATGTGACTCCTCAGTAATGAGAATCAGTATATCAAAATTGAGCAATTTCCTAAGCTTGAACAAATTCAGTCAAGTATAATCATTGTAGAACGTTGGTGAAAAAAATAACAGTCTCAATCATAACTAAAGGAAAAGTTTGAACACAGAAAATATAATATGAAAAGTAATGTATTCATGGAATAAAGGAAGTATAAAGCAATAGTGAAACTTAGAGTATGGAAAGAGACAGAGAATAAATGCATCTACATCACCATAAATCAATTTTCACCTGAGGTCACCTGAGGTCTCCATTTATCGATCATGAATGCCGTGAGGAATTCACAAGCATTGAGAACACAGTTAAAAGCATGAAAGCTTACTTTTAAATATATATATTTTATCTAAGCGTAACTAAATATTCAATAGGCTCTAATTACTTATAGATCAAACAAATTCCTGAACAAATACTCATCTTTTCGAACATCAAAATGTCAATCATACAGTTATTTATTTCTTCGTAAGAGATGTACATCGTAGAGTTCAAAGTGGAATCATCCAGTATCAACTAACCAAGATTGCAGATACACCTTCCTTATGAGGGCTAACTAATAGAAAATTGAGGTTTATGGTGATTTATATTTAATTGCATGTAACGCAGACAAGATGTTCATTGAATGCTGACACTATTGTATAACAATTAGTGTCTTGCTACATAATCACTGAATTGTATTATTTCTGAAAGACTGTTTTTATTTCTTCCTACAGTGGTCTACAAGGAAACGTTGAGTTAATGAAACTAGAATAGTTGAGATCATGAAGCTAAACCACCATGTAAAACCTGGAAGCATTGGACAGCCGTTCCATCCTATTGTGTGAATCTTCAACAGTACTCACCCACGATCTCGCCTCAAGAGATTCGAACCCAGGAGCTATCAATCTCGCACGCGATCGCTTAACCATTAGACCAATGAGTCGGCATCCAACGATATTAATGTCTAACTTTAACTAATCCATAAAATTGAGCGACACATCCATCATTGTCTCAACTAATAAATTTACTAGAATATCCACAAAACCCCTTCTAAAAGTAGAACAGATTACTTAAAAATATAAATCAAGAACTCTGGCAATTCTGTAGGAAGATACAATGAGAATTTGAATGCACACAAAATCATAACGTTGGAATATTTAGCATTCAAACAATAATAATGATAATAACACTTACTGAATTATCATGACCATTCAAAGCTTGACTGCAATTATCATCAGTCCCATTTTGCATATCTATATCGTCACTATTATTATTATTATTATTATTCCCATTAGTGGTATTATTAGTAGTAACATCACAAGGATCACGTAAAAATGTAGCTGGTGTATTTGGATAACCTGTAGTTGGATCATTTGTAAGTAATTTTAATGAAAGCCAATTCAAACGACATTGAGCATCAGTTAATACATTAACTAATTGAGCTTCTGAATCAGCAAGACAATTAGCAAAACATAATTCAAATTCACAAATTGCTAAACGAAATGATACTTCACAAAGACTATTTTTGTAGAGTAATGAAATGAAAGAAAAAAAGGAGAAGTGAAATAAAAGAATAAAAATATGTATGAGATATATGATATAGCAGTAATATACAAGAAGAGTATTTCATTCTATTTGGAATTTAATGTCTAAAGCCATTTACATTCTAGTGTTGATATCTATACTGAAACTTGAATCACGTACTGATTGCTTCCCCAACTAATGGTGCTACCTTGACGTGGTAGTCAGACTTGACTATCGTGATGAAGCAACCGAGCTAAACTGGCTGGAACAATCGTTCCTCAAGGTCTTAGCATGCCAGACATGTCGGTTGAAGAACGGTAAGACTAAAGGCAACAAACGCAAGGTGCGAGAGCAAAGTCGTACTGCTGACCATACAGAGGTGTGACAGCAGTAAGGTGTTTCCTTCAGACAACCAGCATGACAGCGATGTTGCCTTCCCACAAGGAGGGGTGAGGTTAGAAAAGGTCGACCCTAAGAATGCACACCTCACTTTATCCCACGGATATCCGTCTCCGGCTGTAAGGTCTCAACAAGTACGGAGCTAACACAAAAATTACTCACAAGAAGGTCGTGTATGACCAACCTCAAGCAGTTGTCCCTTGGGCACTGCGGTCACGCTCTCAGGTCACTAAGACCACCTCTAATTCAATTTCATTTTCAGATACCTCCAGAAGAACCCTTCGACGGTGTGGGCAACCGGGAAGTGATAAACGCCCTCATAACTTTAACAGCACTCAAGACCACTGACTGTTTAAAACTGAGCAACTGTATCCAGATAACGACTAACCTTTCCACAATGGGTATGATGTTCATTAGTACGAGTTTATATTTATCCGGTTGTTATTATATTATTTATTTGAAGCACAGTTATAAGATCAAAGGGCTTAAACTGATGTACGTAGAGATTACAGAAGCTTCTAGTATTACACGAAAATTAGTAACATAACTAGTAACAAATCAACCAGGAAGGGACACAAACGTTAGAAGAGTTTTCCCAGGAATTATCGACAGTTAGTGACATCTCTATTCCTTCGAAGAATATATTTAGTTCCTCGGGTTCACTTGCTATTTATTTGGTGGATTTACGCTAGCGTTCAATTTTTCAAAGTATTTAACCTATTTTTTTTCTTTGGTCTTTATAAGATGTTATATACATTTGTAAGATTCGTGTTTTGTTTGTGAGCCCTCACTATTTGGACGATAGCTTTACGTTGAATACTGTTCGAATGTTTCTTACGAACATTCTTTCCTTTGGGCACGATCTCTCTGGAACAGAATACAAATATGGGTAACTTGGTAAGATGCTAGCAACTTGGAAATTACTCGCCTCGATACTCACCCCCTTAAAACTTAGGCAAATCCTATCTGACCAATTCCTCTTGAATTATCTCGATATTGTTCATGAACACAAAATTCGCAGCTTCCTTCAGTACAAACTACCTATGGGTTTAAGTTACATATAATATCATTAGGAAGGATGCCTTGATTTATGAAGTCAGAATAGAAAGTTAGAAAACAGAAAATATCGTGATTGAAATCAATCTATAGAAAGCTCAGGATCACACACGACGAGGCTTAGTTATATTAATTAAACTAATGACCGCTTCTCAACTTATCCATACAATAGAATCACAAATAATGACTACATAAAGATGACATTGGTCACTACTCATTGACTGATCAGTGTAAATGTATTAGTCCCAAAAAAGACCAGTTGCAACTCAGATAACCCTACCGAAATGTCTCTTACAATACCTGCCGTTTAGTGACGCGAGTCCGAATCCCAGGAAACCATACATCCCATCATAAAAAGCGCATATGTCTTGATGGAGATTGTCAGTTAACAGTAACCACATGTAGTGTTCGAACATAGCATACCGCTATGTTTAGTTACTTAGGTTAATAGTTAAAATGGCAATTTTATCGACAGAATTCGATTATCAGTAAAAGACTTAGACAAATACGTCAATATTTACATTTCAGTGATTAGTCAGTATAGAATGAATTACTTAAACAACTGATTAACAAAAAGCTAAAACTTACTTAACAGGTCGAGCTCGATCATCATGCCAAAGATCTTGGATATCAGGCAACGCTAAATGGTTTGAATTATCTACATTATGAAATCCATTTGAATTATTATCTTGTGGAGTGTTAACTATTGGTGAAACACTAGATGAATGTATATTGAATAAATTTGATGACCATGGATTAGGACCTGGATTAGCAAACACAGCACGCCATTGAGATAATGCTTCTTCCCATTGTAAACATTCTTTAGTCATTTGATTAACGGTTTCTCTATGCAATAATTCCTTATTTTTATGCAATTGTGTTCTGTTAAAAAGGAAGTAAAAATGAGTTAAACCAGTAAATAATATGAACACATTACTTATGTAGATCGCTCAATCATCATCCACATAGAGCTTGACAGAGATGTTCGTTAGCCCAAGTTGGTAAAACACACTATCGTGAAATGAAATCATTGAGATGAATAATAAAAGTGGTCAAAATAATATAATAGTAATGATAATGAGAAAAACTAAACACTTGGAATACGGTTCAATAAGACTAACATGAAAACGAATGAGTGAAGCGTAACTAGAATTCTAGACCAAGTGGAACGTAAAGAGGAAAGAAATCTGAAGGACTGTGAATGATTCTAAAATATATTACTCAGTCTCCATTTAATGACTGAAGTTATCACGTGAAATCCAATCAAGTAGTTTGAATTCCAACATGATAGACCAGTAGTCAATTACTTCATGGACTGGTGCGAAGTGTTCATTTAGCCTCACCTAGCGTGCTACCAACCAATTACATAAAAAAACATCTCTATAGACAAAAATGGTGGTTGGAAATACGTACCACATACCTCAATCACTTTTATTCGATGAAGATTTAGAAACTGATCAAAAGACTTGCTACATTCACCTATTACCATATACTCAAGTTTAGAATGTACACGATGTAGTACAGTATTCTAGTTTTGAAATTATTATTTGTATGCACGAACAATGCTTCAAAGCCATCTATAATGGAATACTAACAAATGAGAAATAAACCACTAAATTTAAAGACCACGCTCCATATTCACAAAGTCAAGGCGATAGACGGATATCTAGCCTACACCAGAAGTTATGTAAGTTGACAAAACCAAACTGAGATTTCGTTAAATAGCAGAAGACCAGTGAAAAGTTTGACACCCTCAAATAATTCACTCCCTATCATTATTTCAAGAGTTGATCAAGGCGAATCCAGCCGCAACATTTGGGATTTAGATGGAGGGAACTGGATCCAAAGCATTCTTGTATTGTTGCTCAAAGAGAACAAAAGATTGCATTCTCACAGTGTATTCGTCAAATAGAATTATATCATCTGTATGTTCTAAGTTAACAAGTTAATCTACTGATAGTAGATTGATTCATGATAGATCAGATAATGGAAGTCCCACTCCTAAAAGAATGTCTGTGACAAAGTTAAATAAAAACAAGGAGAGTATGCATCCCTAACGGACACCATTCGAGGTTATCGATTTTAATCATACTTCGCCATACGCTCTGACTTGACCAATAATGTTCAAGTAGAGGGCACGTAAAATGCCAAATAATACCGTAAAACAAATCGATCTACGGAGTCGAACACTACCTTAAGGTCGAGAAATACAACTATGGTTTGAAGTGGATAGGTATGTTTGCTTTTACTTATTATCTTAATTTTCACTTCATATATATACCGACGTAACAAGTAAT